GTACTTTATCCTTATGAAGTACTATGTTGTTGGACGTTAGCGTATGTTCAAGAGTTTTCGTAGCAACAATTTCGCTGGCTCGTAGGCAGGCAAAATAGCATGTTAGAAATAGAGCTTTATAAAGAGTGAAATCATAACGCGAAGTGGTTGCGAATTGGAGGTTCTTTATTAGTTTAGTGAAAATCTGTGTAGTGATTGGTAGCCGAGTGAAAGTGGCGGACTGCTGTAGATTTAGTTTTGAGGCTCCTCTACACAGAATGGTCAATTTTGTCGAGACTGTCGGATCCTCCATGTAAGAAATATTGTGCATGAATGAAATTGCACTAAGGTAGGTTTTAACGGTAGAGACTGCAAGTCCAGATGTTATCAAATAGCACACGTAAAGGGATAAGGCTTGTTGGGTTGATGGCATACGTAGCGGTAGGTTATGTCGTCGTAGAAAGTGACGAAAATGTGTCCATGGCTTGATGTAAATATTAGCAGTGTCTTTTGCTAACGATCCCCAGGTAAGTGTCTGTTCAAAGAAGCGAAGTTCTCTGGTAGCAGGTGTGCCGGAATTTGTAGAGGATGCGGCTGCATGTTGCTCTCTTTTAGTAGCTTTCCTGTTACCGGAAACCGAGACAGTACATCACACAAAATGTTCTTTTTTCCTGGTATATGTCTGGACGTGAAGTTTATATTGTTAACAAGGGGAACAAGCAATATGGGGTGAACGATATGCATAACACTGTCATTGCTTGAGGTTTTCTTATTTAAAATATAAACGTTATCTAGGTTATCACTGTGAAAAACAACATGAGTGTTTGCTAACTGTTTTGGAAATATTGAGAGACAGAACTTCTGAATTAATTTACTGCATTCATCAAATAATGAATTGAGCAGTTAATACTTCAACAGAATACAGTAACAATTATATATTTTCTAAACAATTATGACACATTATTTATATTCAGTTTCTGTACAGGTTCATCACATGCCTAAATTGTGTACTATACATGAACTATAAGTGATTGTCCAAACAAACCAGTGACACACTAAGTAAGTATACTGCTTTACTACCGTCACCTTCACTTGGTAACATCAAAACCACCCACATGATACATCAAACAAGTACCATACTGTACTAACCATCAAATACATTATGCAATGGATACTTCAGATAGCTAACAACTACATTATTCAGCGGATACTTCAGGTAACCAACAACTGCATTATATAATGGATGTATCAGCTAAGTGCATTAATCAACAGTTAATTAATGATTGCATAAAACTGCATACTATAGTATCAAAAACAGCCTAAACCAACAATTACATTAGTTGAAGATTTTCATAAAACTGCTCACTGAATTCTTAAAAAAAAAACAGCCAAAACCAACAATTACATTAATTAATGAGTGCATAAAACTGCTTACTGCATTAATTAAAACAGCCTAAAAAACTATTGCATTAAATCATGCAAAAACTACATAATGTATTAATCAAAAACAGGCTAAACCAAGAACTACATTAACTAATGATTGCATAAAAGTCCTTACTTTTATTCAACAAAAATATCCAATACCAACAATTATATTAATTAATAATTACGGATCGCGGGAACCATTTTTCTTGCCTACAGTACGGAATACTAATTATCGTTTTCTGTTGATGTCTACGCTAAATTCAATGTACTTTACATGTAAACAATTAATGTATGCTGGCTTCATAAAAAGGAAATGATTTATTTACGAGTTATAGTGATGAAATATTGAACGAGAATTTACCCAACTAACCCGTAACTTAACCCTAACGTTCCCTAGCTTTTTCCCAATTTAATTAAAAAAAATACTACCAGAAACAAGCTAATTTTCACTTCCTACTGATGTCTAAACTAACACAAATTTACTTTTTTATGTCCATAACAGGGCCGGCGGAACGTTTTTCAAAGTGGTGGGGGGGGGGCCCACTTATAAGATGAATGGGAATACGAATCATGCAGATCTGGAAAAACCTAGGGGATGGGGATCAACATTTTTCCCAAAAAGGAAAGGGGATCCGGAGTTCCCCCCACCCCCGGGAAAATTTTGATTTCTAGATGGCGGGAAATGACCATTCTCGACTTTTAAGCTAGGTTTGTAATGACTTTGTTCTTCAAAATTCAAGGTTTCCGGGAAAATTTTGATATCATGGAGGTCCTGGCCACCGGCAGAAGGTTGTTCGAAACCGGTGTGTCAAACGGGGAGACCGTGGCGGATCTAGCGGGCGCCATGCTGTCGGAGCGGTTCCCTTATTTCCAGTGGGAATCGCTCAAAACGCTCGAGGAGAGCGACAGGTGCGTCGTGTGCATGACGGCTTACGCAGAAACGATGAATTTGCCCTGCAGGCACTTTGTATCGTGTCGATCCTGCAACAGTCGACTGCGGAAGTGCCCGACGTGCAGACGGCCTGTCGAAATGAGATTGGCGGAGTGGCAGATTCCGGACGACACGAGGGTGTTTAGATAATTATGGGCAATTATAGTTAAAATAAAAAGAAATATATAAATATTTACCTTTTTTTTTTCGAGTTTT